CATGCAAACTGTGTTCAGAGGCAGCGTCATTTATGTCTAACTCAGACACTACATCTGATTCAACTTCTTCGTACCATTGCTGCCATTTGGCTTCTGTTCTTGGTAAAATCATATCTGGAAAGACCAATAATAAGTCTAATTATTGACGAAATTTGACCTGCCGTATATTTATTTACAAGACAAAATAAAATCTAACCAAGTATATGATAAAAATTATGTCAAGGAATTCATAGAAAACGAGAAAACATGACAGACATATCAAAATCATAATCATTCTTTATCACCAGTAAAATCAAAAAGTTTGACAAAGCAACGCCACAAAAAAAATGAGCTTTGAGCCCTTAGCAATATTTAAAATTATCCTTTTGTATTAGTTACGTGACAGTTCAACTTACCAAGATTATCGAAAAAATCACATACGGGATAGGTCGCACCGTTAGATTCTTCCTAACACTTTTGAACAACGTGATCGGTCGCGCGTTAGATATATACTAAAATTATCAAATTCAAGATGACTATTTACTTTATTTGCACGCGAATTATGCATAGATGTTGCCTAGCGACACCAATGAGGCATTCCAGGAGTCTCAAGGCTATAATACTAATTTTTAATAAGAACTCTGTAGTGAATTATATTTTGTTAGATTTTTTCTAACACCGAGACTGATGGAGGGTTAACCAAAGTGTATACAATTTCAACAATATCATCTTGAGCGCAGCACATAATCACATCGGTAAAACCAAACCAATGATAAACAAAAACTCCGTTTCATGGTGGAACGAAGAGTGCGGCGCAGCAATCACAGCAACCAAGAAAGCATTAAATAAATACAAAAGACAAAGAACTACTGACAACCTGATAGATTTAAAGCGAAAGAGGTCACGTGCAAAACTAATAACAAAGAAAAGTCAAAAGGATTCTTGGAAAAAGTTTGTAAGTAGTATAAATAGTTCAACACCATTAGCAACAGTCTGGAAGAAGATCAAAAGCATAACCGCAGCCAAGTCATACTCACCTATAAAATGCTTGAAGGATGGAAACACAACACACACAACGAATGAAGCAATAGTTGAAGCATTTAGTGAAACTTACCTCAAAAGTTCCAGCAACCAAAATTACAGCGATGAATTTCTAAAACACAAAACAGAGCTAGAATCAATACCAATATCAATACAGAACAACCAAGACCCAGTGAATATAATAATCTCCGAACACGAAATGGAAGAAGCCCTTAACGACTTGAAAGAAACTACTGCAGGACCTGACGACATACCTACTATCTTTCTGAAAAATCTTCCTCAAGTAGCTAAACAACATTTACTAAGAATCTTCAACAAAATCTGGACTGAGAATATGTTTCCTGATATATGGCGCCAAGCATTAACGATACCGATACTAAAACCAACCAAATCATCTCTTGTGCCTGAATCTTATAGACCAATAAGTTTAACATGCGCTATGTGCAAGCTATTAGAAAAAATCATCAATAAAAGGCTCCTATGGAGCCTAAATAAGTCGAATCTACTAGCTAAGGAGCAGTCCGGTTTTAGACAGAACAGATCCACCATAGACAATGCAGTAGACCTGGAAACATACATATATGAAGCTTTCGAGAACAAACAGCATTGCCTTGCGGTATACTTTGATATGACTAAAGCATTTGACACTATTTGGAGACATGATATCATCTTAAAATTACACGGATGGGGTTATGATGGGAATATCGTTGCTTTTATATCTAATTTTCTGAGCAATAGGAGTTTTCAAGTCCGTTCGAATGGAGTTCTATCCAAACCCAAACTACAAGAAAATGGCATCCCGCAAGGATCAATAATCAGCCCGACATTGTTCTTAATCGCTGTCAACGACATTCTTAGTTACATTGAAAAACCAGTTCAAGCACGTCTTTATGCGGATGATATGATAGTGTATATAAGAGGAAAAAACCCAACAACCAATACAGAACTCATACAAAAAACAATTCACAAATTGGAACAATGGACAAAACACTCCGGGTTATCATTTTCACCTGAAAAGACAAAATATATTATATTCTCAAGAAGACAGATAATCCAACTCAGAGTACCACTAACGCTTCATAACATATCCTTAGAGCAAACACAAGAAATCAAATTTCTGGGACTCGTATTCGATCATCGATTGACCTGGAAAAAACACATAGAGTACCTAGTTACAAAATGTGAAAAAAGAATGACAGTATTAAAATACTTATCCAACAGACACTGGGGAGCTGAAGGCAAATCCTTGCTCTACCTATACCGATCACTGATAAGATCTAAAATAGACTATGGTAGCATAATCTACGCCTCAGCTAGCCGTTCAACTCTAAAACCTTTGGATAGCATACACCACAGAGCACTTCGCTTAGTACTTGGAGCATTTAGAACAACACCAGTCCAAAGCTTATATTGTGAAGCCGGCGAACTGTCGCTGAATGACAGAAGGGAGATACTAAGCTTAACATATGCCACTAAAATAGCATCAAATCCAAGTATCCCTGGTCACAAGTACATAGGACAGATTAATAGAGGAATCCAGCTGGGCGTTTCCAATGCAACACAGAAAAAACCGTTTTACAGAAGAATCTCTGACTACTTGAGAAAATTAAATATCGCACAAATTCCTGCAACTACCATCAGACCTAGTGCAGACATTGCTCCTTGGACAATGCAGAGGCCAAGCATCAACAAAGCTCTCACAAGAATGAGTAAAACAGACACGCCAGCACCAGTAATAGTACAAAATTTCCATGAAATAGTCAACAAATACCAACACCATGAGAAAATATATACAGATGCATCAAAACTTGACAATAGAGTAGGAACAGCTGTTGTGACATCCACTACTACCATTAAAATGAAATTACCAGACGAAGCAACAATTCTAACAGGAGAATTATATGGAATATTAGAAGCCATGAAACACGTACAGAATCAGAACATCCAACGAAGCCTCATAATAACTGATTCTCTAAGCTCGCTTCAGCTTATTGAGCAGATATATACGAAAAACCACCTGGTGCACCAAATTAAGCAGATTCTCCACTCATTACAAGCAGACAACCATGATGTTGTATTCGTTTGGGCTCCTTCTCACGTTGGTATCCAAGGCAACGAAAAAGCAGACCATCAAGCTAAATTAGCAGCAAACTTGGATCACACATCAACCATAAACATCCCAGATACAGATATAAAATCTCACCTTAAACAAAGAGCTATTCAAACCTGGAATACCAACTGGCAGAACAACACATCAAAGCTGTTTGAACTGAAACCCAGATTCGGACCATGGACAACACACACAACAAACAGAAAACACCAAACAATCATCACACGACTCCGTTTAGGTCACACCCGGATCACCCATGGACATCTCATCACGCAGGAACCAGAACCCATGTGCGAAATGTGTGAAACCCATCTCAGTGTCAAACACATATTAGTGCAGTGCCCTTTGTTAGAGCACTATAGAGTGGAATGTAACCTCACATCATCAACCATGTGTGATATTTTAGCACCAAATAGCAACATAAACAATCTATTACGTTTCCTACAGCAAACTAATGTATTATATAAAATATAGCATGTAAGCCGTACCGCTAATGGCCTTTAGGTCGAAGCGGGTAATTAAATAAATAATAAAATAAACTTAATGCTCAAATCTGACCATAACCTTGACTATCACCGTCAAGGTTATTTGAAGATATAATGAATTTTTAATTGAAAACACAAAATATCTCGAAACATACGTTTCGTAAAGTAATACGTTGTGTAATAAAATTGTAAGGTTGGAAAAGATTTATCTAATGGTGACTTAGACAGTTTTCTTAAATTGAAGCCACTTTCTTTAGCACCGAAATATATTAGCTGTAGCAAATAAATTTAACAATAATAAGTACTACTCACCTTGAATCTTTATCAGTCCTTGGCTCAGATTTTGATTTCACTTGCGAGCTAGAACTGCTTTTCTTGTCATCTTTGTTTTTATTAGCATCGTTATCCTTACTGCTTGATGATGAATGTGACTTTGTGTTTAAACTTTCCTTCTCACTCTTGGACTTTGACGTTCTCTTGTCTTCATCACAGTCTTTGTCTTTCGACCTGCAAAAAAGTAGATGTTTTCAAAATCAGACATTTAGAGCCCGAACAAATAATATGTTAGCTCATGATTAAGTAGCCCAAAAAGAATTTGAAGAATTTATCGACCAGATATCCTTGTTGTATCCAATTCGATACTAAGGGCCGTGCATTCTTTCTAATTTCTTTTGGGCTACTAATAGTATATAAATACAAATATCCGAGTCCAAAAAACAAAATAATATATGAGAGAAAGGACTTACTTTGAATCAGTAGATGCCACAGACTGTTTTCTTCCCAATTTTGTCATCTCCACTACCATCGCTAGAATGAGTTCTCCTCTTTTTCGAGTGCCTGTCATCAATCGAGTCTCTTCTTTTTCTAATGGATTTTTCCGACTTCTTTCCAGCTCTACTCTCGTCACAGCCATCATTAGAATGACTCCTTTTCCTCTTCGAGTTTTTATTATCATCAAAGTCCTTTCCTTCTCTACTCGATTTTTCTTTCGACTTGGAACCTTCACTGATCTTATGTTTTTCTTCCTTCTCTGTCGTTTCATCATCACTAGATCCACTAAAATGCCTTTTCTATTTTGGATGCTTCTCAACAGACTTACCTTTTCTTTAGCTGGACTTCTCTGTGGACTTGGAGCTGACTTCATCACTGCTTTTTGATTTTTTCTTGGACTCTTTTTCATCATTTGACCCTGAACGATGCCTTTTCTTTGAGTGTTTTTCATCTTCTGAATTTTTGTGATTGCCTGAGTTCTCATTTGATCTTGAAGTATGTTTTTCTTTCGCACTCGAACTAGTAGAATCATGTCGTTTCCTTTTTGAATGGACCTCCCGATCTGAGCTACGCCGCCTGTGATTTTTTGAATGTTTGCTTATCTTATGATCACTTTATAGTAAAGATTCATTTGAAGTGTAGACTTTTGTGTTTGATTCTGATTCTGAACTTGCAGTAAAATCCATTTTTTTGCGCTTTCGTTCATCGTCATGTCTACTAGATGTATGCTTAGACGTATCCTTCTCTTTGCTACTACTGCCTTTATGAGGAGATCCGCTTTTATATCTTTCACTACTTTTGCTCGATTTTGCTATGACTGCAGCTAATATGCTTTTCTGTATGCTTATCAGTTTTCTCGCTATTTGTTTTAGCATGATGACTAGATTTCTCCCCCTTACTGCAAACTCTGTAATAAATGTGTAATGTTGCATCAGAAGAATAACTACTTTTAATGGAATGAGACAAATGTTTACATTTAGGTAGGTGAAGAACGGAATAACAGATACTCAGTTTTCTTTAATTCCGTCTTATTTGTCATTTGCAATGTATGAAAGTTTCGCAATTGTCTAAGATTGAAGAAAGAAACTGAAATTTCCCAAAACCGTTTTTATTTTTTCCTGGAGTGATTTGAGATGCGATTTCAAAATAAAGAGTGCATTAAGACCTTGTCTCTTCTACATGATGGAGTAATTATGATTACAATTTGACATTTCGTCTCCTGCCTCCAATCATCTGGTTTTCTTATAGGCATTATATTGCATTTTTGAACAGGTGAAAAGTTGTTAATTGTGGTTTCAAAATACTGTAGTATATCATACAATGACTTGGTCAAATCTGAGTTATTTAAAAAACTGATATTCTCATATTTGACTTTGAAATTGAGTTTATCACGTTTCCTATTAATGACAAATGCTTTAATGTTTGAGGACATTTTGATTAATCTGCTGATTTATCGGATATAACAAGCGTTATTTTAGCACGAAGGAGAAGTTATATATGACACAACAGCTGTAGATTAATAGTATTTCAATGAAAGATGTACATCGGACGAAAGCATCTTGTTTAAATATAAAATGTGTTTAGGGAGAGGCTTCAGCGTCGAGGGTTTTATTTACTCCTAAATGTTCCGCCAGATACACAAAATGAAACTGTCTTCAATGTTTTTAAATAACATAAAGAAGTTTTAACATTTCGATGAATTACGACTAACTACTCGAATTGAAAACACTATCCATCTTTGTAAAACTCCCATCAAGTCTGGTTTTATTATTGAAAGCTGTTCAAGGAGGTTTTCAAAACATGGACGCCTAAAATGGGTAGGTAGGTACACCAATTTTTGTGGTAAAACTTTTTATTTTGCAGCAAAGAATAAGAAAACGTGTTTTTTGGGACTCAATCGAAAGTGTTGACAGGAACGAAAAAGCTTTTCATAGCAGATTCTTAGGTATTTATGAGACCTACAAAATGAGACCACATGTAAAAGATCCGACTAATAGCAAAAATGTTATGGCCGAAAAACGAGGCAAAATGCAGGTTTTGGCACTTGTTGGTAATGCGACGATAATTTCACGCAACTACTTGAATGACTTCAAATCCGTAGAATTCATGCTGCTAAATAACAACAACAAAATTGGAGTATATTGATCAAGTAGCTTTTGTTTTTTAATTGTTTATCCCAAAATAACTGTTTTTCGGCCGTCACTACTAGTTTATTGAGCAATATACAGGGTTCGTTCAAAAAGCATTTAATAACAAAATACACGTGTTTACCTTGCCGATATGAATCACAAACTATTCCTAAAGATAAATGTTATTTTTCTGCCAAAAACAAAGTTACCTTTTTTTTCTAAACAAATTCAAACACTTCGTATTTGTGACTAGCTGAACAAATGCGCTACGATATTCGAAGGACATACGTTATTATATACACATTTTAAAACAAAGCGGATGTGTCTATCATCTTTTGTTGCGAATTACAAATGCGAAATGTTTGTGGTCTCATTTTGTAGGTCGCATAGATACGTAAAAATCTGGTATGAAGAGTTTTTCGTTCCTGCCAACACTTTCGATCGAATCTCAAAAAACACGTGTTCTCGTTCTTTGTTGTCGAATAAAAAGTTTTACCACAAAAATTGGCGTACCCATTTTATGCGTCGATGTTTTGGATATCCCTTGAACAACTTGCAGCAATAAAACCAGGCTTTACAATTATATCGCAAAGCAGGGCTATTTTGTCTATGTTTAGACTATAGTTGATGATTGGGAACAAGAGACAAAACGCCATATTAAAATTCTAATTATACCATCTAGAGGAGAAAAATTGGCAATGTTAATATATACTCTCTATTTTAAAATAACATCTGAAATTATGTCAGTAAAAAATAAACACGATTTTGGGAAAGTTCAGTTTCTTTCGTCTACATCCGGGAATACTCGGAATACTGAAGGTTTCTACGTGCAATTTTCTTAGTTACTTGGTTGTGCTCCCTTTTAACCGACATCGAATATCTTACCGTTTCTGAGAATCCAATGGTAAGAATCGAATTTGAAACACTCGGTATGTACAGATTATAATATTTTTAAATATTCAACTTACTTTGATACACTCGTGTTGAACTTCCTGAAGACAGCACGAAGAACAATTGATTTATCCATGTTTCAATCACTTACTATCACTGATATTAGTGGGACCACCTAATGTATACTGAATTACTTCACTTGTAGATCTAATATTTTTAAATACCTGTACACCCTAATTAAAGGACAATTTGCAGACATAGTAAAATCCCTTCCTAACAGCGAATAAGAATAAGGACATAATCCTGCTTTTGGCCCGCCTTGTGTGCGGTCATTGGTGGTTAAAATTACTGCCTGTGATTATGCGAATAGCTCTACATCATGCAAATCCATTTTAGCCTTCTAGGGTTTTGATTTACCAGAAAACGATTTTGGGGAAAATTGTGTTTATTTCGTCTGTTTCCGGAAAAACTAGGAATTGCGAAATCTTCTACGTGCCATTTTCTTAGTTACTTAAATGCGCTCCCATTTAACCGACACCGTATCTCTTACCGTTTCCGAGATCCCAATGGTAAGAGTCGAATTTGATACACCCGGTATGTACAGATTATATTATTTTTAAATATGCAGCTTACTTTGATACGCTTTTAGGGAACTTCTTGAAGAACGCACAAACAACAGTTGATTTACCCATGTTGCAATCACTCACTCACCGTCAGCAGTACGACCACGTGATGCTGAACTGCTCGACTTTTGGTTTTTAAATTCGCCACACCCTAGTCGAAGGACAATTTGCAAAAATGGTCACATTCCTTTGTAAGGATCTGCTAGAAAACTATCCTGTAATTATTTAGATAAAGGGGAAGCAAATAGGATTAGGGACATCGCTAATCCTGGTTTTGCGTCCACTTTGTGTACGGTCATTAGAGATTAGGACTTATTACCTGGAATTGGGCGGTTCCCAAATTTTCGTAAATGTACCTCTACAGCTGTTTTAAATTACAAAAAGCTTCCATATCCAAGCCAACTTTATACCTGTAACCTTTTTTTGGAAACCTAGAGGAATCGGATTCAGTGATGTAGCCTTTTTTGCTACTATTCTTACCAAAAGCTACGTTAAACCCACTTATGATATGATACCTAAGAGCAATCAATAAAATAAAAAAAATACATATTTGCAAACTAGTTTTTTCAGCTGTTAATAAGGTGAATTGAAAATTTAAAAATATTGTTTTCCGGTTGGAAGCTTCGTCATCTCATGGTTTCAAATGAAAGCGTGTTACATACACCGTTTTCTCATCCTACAAAACATAACACGCTTACCGCTGAGAAAAATTCCTGTGGGCGCCTAAGTAAGTTCTACATTATTTTCATATATTTCGTTGATAGGACTCCATAAAACCTCTTATTTTTTTTGTATTGTCAAATTTATATATATGTATATATATGAGTATATATATATATTCGCATTGAAAAATATGCGGCTTTATTAACTTTCATTACGTACTAAATATTAGTGAAATATCTGAAGCGGTTCTGAAAATATTAATTATTCTCCATTTTTTTCCTAAATCTTCGACACCCCGAGTCTTTGTAAGGAAACATTTTTGGGCCATAGTTTATAAAGCAAGCTAACATTAATTTTTCAAGCAGGTTCACACACACACACACATATATATATATATATATATATATACAGGGTGGCCCATTCATGTGTGGACGGAATATTACTCATAAACAAATAAATCTTGGGAAAATCTATTTATGGCACGTTATACATGACATTTGAGGGCATACTTCTAAAATATTGTCAATTATACAGGGTGTCCCAATTTTGATCTACATACCAAAGTTGTGATTTTTTAAACCGAACGCTTCAAATTTTCTTGCATATTTGGATAAACCAATTCAAAAGAAGAAGATTGATATAACATACTATGGGGTTTTGGTAATTAGCTACCGAGATGTACGGTATTTTGTCCAGAAAAACCGTCCACTTCGGCAACTCCTCAATACGCCATTTTGAAATTTGGAGTGCTGGATTTTGTATCACAAAAAACCTACGCACCTCAGCTTTATCTTATTTATTACTTTTTCAAATGTTCATTTTTGCTCATACAGGGTGGCCAAAAACGCGAATTGTAGGTAGGTACTTTTTCTCAAAAATTTCAAATCCATCACTCTGTATATTTGTGCAAGTTTGAATTCACTTTTTAGTAGTAGATGTCTTATGGGGATTCGGTCTCAAAACTTCCAAAATCCGCCACCAGAGGCGCTGGCGTCGCGCGCCATTGACAGGTTGTTGGACGGAATCTGTAATCATGAGTTGGGGATTCCGCCGCTAGATGGCGCTGTCAAACCAAACGGAATCTGTGTGTCATTGGACACCTGTCATGCGTCATTGGGCATCTCACGCATAGATGGCGTTAAAACGTCATCTGTCATACGTCATTGGACACCTGTCATTGATGGGTTGGGCATCTCGCGCATAGATGGCGCCGATTTGTTTGGCGCTGTACAAACCAAACGGAATCTATGTGTCATTGGACAGCTGCCATTGATGGGTTGGGCATCTCGCGCATAGATGGCGCCGATGTCGCACCTGTCTGGTGTTGGCGTGGATTACGGGGGGCAACGTGTATACAGGGGTGCATCGAAAAATAGCGGATCGATGGACCGACGGTATATCGTTAAATCGTATATAGCAAGGCGTGACCTAAATAGCGTGGTGGGCTCCTCTGGTCGGTCGGTCGGTCGGTCAGAATGTCTCATAACCTGTATACGATGTACTGTTATTATTATACAGGATGATACCGTTCAAAATGAAACTTTATGTAGTAGAATGATGGTGGGGGGGTGGGGAGTCGAAGGAACCGACTGTTTTTTTTTTGTTTGACAACAGGCTGAATACGAAATAAACATAGATTTCCGAAAAATGTATTTTTTAATGATATACAGATACAAGTTTAGATAACAGAGTTTTTAGTTGATGTAACAAATCCTCGCTGGGGCATGGTACTCCAAATAGAGTCCAATGAAATGGTCCGGTCGCAACAACTTTTCTTGTAAATTCATTAAATTTATAGTAAGTTGCGTGACGGAAAAAGTAAATATGGCCATCAATCCATCGAAATGCGAGAGAAATATCTTCAGGTAATTCAGGAAATATGTCTCTTATCCGTCCTCTGTTCAACACATCAGTAAAATCGTTAGAAAATTCTATATATGACATATTATTATAAAAGGTATAGGACCGTCCTGCGTTTGATTGAAAAATAGCATTGATTCGAGCCCTATCGGGTATATCAATTGAAAAATTATCAAGAAATTTAATGGTAGGGAATGATGCTGAGAAATATTTGTTTGGAGACACAATGGTAATCAAGTCACCGTTTGTTGATTGGAAAATATGTTGTAAAGTGGATTGACGTAATTCTGTAGGAACATAATCGACAAGAAGTTCAGGCTGAGATGGGATAATCATTTCGTTTAAGTCTAGTTTCCATATAAACATATCATGTGCAATATATAATCGGTAATTTGAAAACTCTGGAGCAATAGCTAAAAACATAAAATCTGGAATAATATCACACAAATTTTTGAGGATCGGCTGCTTACGAGTTGTAGATCTTATAGTTGTTGTTGTTTTTGGTATTGCTGATGCGGTGGTAGACGTTGGGATTGAATCATATTTGTTTTTTCTTCCATATAGATATTGTACTGCATTTATATCATCAACATCTAGACCACGAATCTCATGCTGATAGAAGGCAAACATAATAGCATTCGGAGAAGCACTATGTGCTATGCCGAGGGCATGTCCAATTTCATGAACCAACACCATAAGAAAACTAGTTTGATTTTTGGGTATATTAGGATTATTTCCAAAATACCAGCGTTCATTTATATCTAAATGGATTTCTCTACAGGTGCCGCTAGAGTCAGGAAAGTATGCATGTCCTAAAACGCCGCCAGCATCATCTAATGTCAATGGACATTCATCATTACCCATACAGTTTGCGCTAAAATAATGAGTCTTGCTAACCATGGTTATAGTAATATCAGGAGGATATAGAGTGGGATTGGTAACCATTGTAAATGTTAAGTTTGAAACATTTTGCCACATCTGAAAAGCCATTTCTGCATCTTTTTGGGCCGCAGGTGTGTTTCGAGGGAAATACCATTTCAGGTCATGTTTCCGAAATGGAAAACTTGCTCTAAATTCAGCATCACTGTATTGACAACGCGGACGATTCATAAATTCAATTGTTGCATTATTCAACAATCCATCCACTGGTAAATTATACTTTTCTTGCAAGTTAGTTAGCAAAGTAGAGAGATCTGTTGTATTATCGATGATATGTTCATATTGAGTTAGGTATACTATAGCGTCTTTTTCGGAGAAATCGTTGCAAAGCACGTATGTGAAAGTTGAAATAAAAAATAATACGTCTACCCACATCAACATCTTGATAGAGAATGATGTCAAAAATCTCAGATAGCAAATATAAATTCGTTTACCCCCCCAATCAAAATCTTGACTGAAAAAAAAATTAGGCAGCAAATATACAATAATCATACACGAATTTCTATATTTCTAAAATTCTACTCTCATGTGCAACTTGTAATTGGAATTTCCGCCGGACAAACGATACATTCATGTATTACTAAGAAATTATATAAAAAATACTGCAACCGCAATGAATGTTGTTTTCTCGATAAAAATGGTACTGAGAATATGATGAATATAATATGCATATTTACGATACAATTATCTCATGCACGCGTGTGTCATCTCAACTACGTACTTATATTGAGCGAGCGCATGCAGTTTTCTCGATAAAAATGGTACTGAGAATATGATGCATATAATATGCATATTTACGATACAATTATCTCATGCACGCGTGTGTCATCTCTACTACGTACTTATATTGAGCGAGCGCATGCAATAGTCATCATTGTTTCACACTTAACGCACAACGCTGCAAGCTGCAACAACGACCGCAGTACAATTAGTGCTTCGAGAGAGACGAGAGAGCGAAAATTTTAAAAAAAGTAAGTGCTATTTTATTTAATATTTTTCTTTTTTATGTCTCTAAGTGCAACTGTTTTTTTTTTCGTGTTATGCTTCAAAATAGTTAGACGACTCAATTTTTTTTTATAGATGGATTTATCAAAAATTAATGCTGCGTCTTCGATTGTAGACCGCAAACCTATCAGAAAATTAAAGGACCTACCAGTCGGGACACCATTTGCAATCCAAGCAGCTAAAGTGGTCAAGTCGAAATTTGGGGAAGCCGTGCTACTAGATTTAGGACCGGAAGTGCTATTTCTACCACAGCGGGTGACGGAAACGTACCAGCCGGTCATCGACGAACTTTTTCACGGAAAATACTCGATCATCTTCCAAGGGGAAGTGGACGTAGGGAAAAGCCGACCGCTAGCATCATTCAAAATAGTGGAAAATTAACAAAGCAGAGAACAGGAGGAGGACAGGGTGAGCATTTTTATATATTTTTGAGTAATGTGTTTGCTTGAAAAAAAAAAATGTCGTCTTTTCAAATGTCGTCAAATAAGGTTAAAAAGATCATCAAACAAACAGACGGTGTTCTACTATCAATTGTTAGTCTACGGAAAATTTTATTTGATAATTTTACAATCAGAGACGCGGAAGTGTGGCTGAAACGAATAGAAAAACAAATTAGATTATGTAAACGGGTAATTCGTAGTAGAAGGCAAAATAAATTATCTGTAGGGACCTGTAGAAAAGTAGAAACAAATTTGGGGCATTTTAAACATTTTAGAAAGTTGATTTTAACTAGACATATTGGGGCAGGACTTCACTTAACATTGGGTCAGAGGGTTAGATGGGAAAATGTAGAATCGAGCTTTCAAAGTAGAATAAAAACCGGTTCCATAGCTAATTTGCGTCATAAGGACTTGAATCAATTTTTAGCAGATTGTGTAGTTGTTTTTAAAAGGAAAATTAGGAATATTTTGAACACCCATTGTGCGCTCAAAGTAAATACAACATTTTGCGGGGAGTTTATTAGGAAATCGGGGGATAATGAAATTTTGGGAATTAAATATATTAATACTAAAAATCATATTATTGATACATCAACTCAAATAGACGAGTGGTTTAAGATATATGTTAAAGATAAACTTTTAAACGAATTATCGGAATTTGCTGAAAAAGATTCGGGATTTGCGTTAAATAAAATTATTTCCTTAGTTGTTAATATCAGTAAATATCAATTGGGAAACGGTTCATCTTATATTAGACTACCAGAACCGATTATAAGGAAAAATGCTTGTATAAACATTAAAAATATAGATCAAAATTGCTTTTACTGGGCCATTGTAAGCGCTCTTCGGACTCCTAGCAATAAAAGACATGCAGAACTAACCTCCTCATATCCACACTTTACTGACGTTTTACAAACAGAAAATTTAGATAGTCCTATGCTGCTAACAAAAATTTCAAAATTTGAAAAGATGAATAACATTTCAGTCAATGTTTACGCTTTAGAATTGATCGAAACAGAAAAAAAATCATTTTACATAGTAGTACCAGCAAGATTAACGGAAAATAAACGGGATACGCATGTTAATTTACTTTTAGCTCAAAATAAATATTATCCGCGTTTAAATGATTATGATGCTCCTCCACCAGCGCCAGCAAATGAAGATAATGATTCAATCGATGAAATTAAATATCACTATTGTTGGATTAAAAATCTTTCGCGTCTTATTAGTAGCCAGTTAAATAAACATCGTGAGAAAAAATTTATATGCGATAGATGTCTGAACTATTTCCATCAGCAAAATAAATTAGTTGAACATGAAAAACTGTGTTCTAAATTTAATAAATATAAAATTAACCTTCCTAAAGAGAGCTGCGTTGAATTTAAAAACTTTACATACCAACAAAATACTCCTTTTGTTGTTTATGCAGATTTTGAATGTCAATTAGAAAATCATAAAGAAAGTAGCGTCGTAAATTTAACTAAAACCATAAAATATCAAAAACACGTTCCGTATAGTGCTGGTTTCTATGTAAAATGCAGCTATGATGATAGCCTTTCTTATTTCGAGAGCTTTCGAGGTGCAGATTGTATGGATTGGTTTGCAAATCGTATGGCTGGTGTTGCGCAATTTGTAAACTCAAAAATAAAAACAAGCGTACCTATGATTGAAAAATTAGACACATGTAAGGCAACATCATGTCATATTTGCGGTAAGAGATTTTCAAAAACAAAAAAAGACATAATCGTTAGAGATCACAACCATTTCAGTGGAGAGTTCAGAGGTTACGCACACCAAGCATGCAATCTGAACTTTAGAAAATTGTTTGTTGTGCCGGTTATATTCCATAATTTAAGTGGGTACGATAGTCACTTTATGATTTCGAATTTATGTAAAAAAGGTCGCTTAAGTCTACTTCCCATCAACAAAGATAAATACATCTCCTTTACGCTGCACTCAGATGAAAATAACATTAAATTGCGGTTTATAGACTCTTTTCGATTTATGGGGGCGTCTCTTGATGAATTAGCTTCAATTTTAGCAGTATCAGAAAAGAAAATTTTACAAAGGGAATTTCAAAATGTAGATGAAGATAAATTCAAATTATTAACACAGAAAGGAGTTTTCTGTTACGATTACATTGATTCGTTGAAAAAATTAAATGAAACGACTTTGCCCCCAATTGAAAAATTTTACAATAAATTAAACGATGAAAGTGTAAGTGACGAGAAGTATGCTCATGCGCAATCTGTTTGGCAACAGTTTAACATTAAAACATTAGGAGAGTATTCTGATATATATTTAAAAACAGATATTCTGCTTCTTGCCGACGTTTTTGAGCAATTGCGTAAAAAATGTTTCTCCACCTATGGTCTGGATCCTGCGTGGTACTATACAATGCCCGGATATACGTGGGACTGTATGCTCAAATACACTGGGTGTAAGTTAGAACTACTAAAGGATCTAGATATGGTGATGTTTTACGAAAATGCTATAAGAGGTGGAATTTCGGTGTGTAGCAACCGATTTTCGGAGGCCAACAATAAATATATGCCCGAATATGATCCTGAAAAGCCGTCCAAGTACCTTATGTACCTGGATGTGAATAGCTTATATGGGAAGGCTATGCAGCAACCCTTACCCTACGGAGGGTTCAAATGGGTAGATGATGTAACATCGTTTGATGTGATGTCAATACCCGACGACTCTGACGTAGGGTACGTGCTACAAGTCGATCTATCGTACCCACAAGAACTGCACGATAAACACAAAGATTTTCCGTTTGCGGCAGAACGTAGCGTACCACCCAGCGACGGCGGGGTAAAATTGCCGAAATTAATGGCAACACTTACGGATAAAAAAGAGTACACGGTTCACTATAAAAATTTAAAACAAATGCTAGCTAATGGGTTAAAGTTAACGAAAATCCATAAAATTTTACAATTTAAACAAGCAGCCTGGCTGAAACCCTACATCGAGTTGAATACTCGATGTAGAGCTGCAGCCCGGAATGATTTCGAAAAAAATCTTTTTAAATTAATGAATAATGCAGTATTCGGTAAGACCATGGAAAATATACGTAAGCACCGCGTATGTAAAATCGTTAAATCTTGGGGTGGTCGCTATGGGGCAGCAAACTTGATTTCGAGTTTTCGGTTCCACAGTCGCACAATTTTAGAGGAAAATCTGGTGGTTATCGAATTGAACAAGGCTGAAATAACGTTTAACAAACCTCTGTATGTAGGGCAGGCAATTCTAGACCTATCGAAACTAGTCATGTACGATTTTCATTACACCTATATGCTACCAAAAATGGGTGCAGAAAGGTGTAAGCTCATGTACATGGACACAGACAGTTTTATCTACGAATTGCAATGTGAGGATGCATATGAGGAGATCATTAAAGCTGATTCCAGTAAATTTGATACTTCGGATTATCCTGAAAATAACATATATAAAATACTGCGTAAGAACAAAAAGGTGCCGGGTC